TATATATATATATATATATATATACATTTTTTACAGTGTATATATATTAATTAAATATGATAAAATAATATAAAATATAGTATAATATAGCTACTCTTCAAGTACTAAAATAGTCATAAATGGAATCCTTAAGAATACTGGATTCAGTGTTATTACTGTTAATTAAAATGAAAACTATTAAGCCATAAATATTATTAAACATCACCCAAATACATTTATACCAACAATACACATTATTATAGGCAGAAATAGTTCTTTAATGTAACAATTGCAATGCAGTTGCTCTTAAATTTACTGAGAGAAAGTGTATTCTTTCTGAATAATCTCTAAGATATTTTTAAACTGTTTCATTTTGAAAACGTTGTCATTAATTATATTAGTGTCAATAAATTTGCAGATTATTTGCAATTAACTGAAAGGTCAGCACATTTAATGTACGTTGGCCTTCAAGCGTATTAATGGTCCTCTTACCTGAAGCTGTGGTTCTCAGACACAGGAAAACACCGATGAAACATATGATGCTCCTCATGTTCAGACGTATGGTTTTCTCTAAATGTGCCTCTTCTGATGGACTCGAGAGCTGTGGCTGATATTTCAGAGAAGTGACCAGAATATTCCACACTCAACACTTCCTGAGAGAGAAATCAACATTAGTTTGATTGCAGCAGAGACCTGTTTGTAAAACAGTGTGTGTGTGTGTGTGTGTGTGTGTGTGTGTGTGGCATTTACTTTATACATACATTTTTTACTTTAATGGAGCTAAATCGTACAAAATGAACTTAGGCAGTTTTTAGTTGTGATATTCATAATATTTACATGATCACTGTACTGAACAGTAAAATATCACACATCAGATTCACACACTCAAACATACGATCTACTCGTTTTGGATTGATTCACTTTCGTTCACTTAAAAGTTGTTCAAAAGTATTAAGAACCGCATCTATTAAGGCACTAAGAAAGCAAAGAGAGAGTTACTGTAACTAAACACGGTCACATTTCACAAACATCAACCCGTGAGGCTGGAAAACAGGAGAAAGTTTTACCTCGCGCTGGAAACGCGGCTCCGAGAGTGATCCGGCAGATCAGATCCAGCGGTCAGTCAGTTATTCAGTCCAGCTGAACCCTCAGCTCTGACATCATCCGCAGCACTGACCCTCCCACTTCACACAACAACACTGCTCCTCTCACACACAACACAACAAACACACAGCAAAACAGCTTTGACACACGGTACATGATATATTATAGATGATCACATGCATGATATACTGATGAAGGATGACCATAAGAACTGACTGATGCTGAAGAGGAGTATAGGACACACATAGAAGTTCTTCTCACGGCCTGAATATCGTCTGATCACAGCGCCCTCTACAGCTGCAACGCGATCAATGACTGTGAGACTCGTTTGCCTGCTAGAGTTTCAAATCTGTTGCTCATTGAAATTCTGAATTATCGTCTGCAGATAACAGAAACAGACTGTGCGAAGAAAAATAAAAATGTTATTTTTTAATAATCTATCTATCTATCTATCTATCTATCTACCTAAGAAAGAGGTGTAAGTCTAAAAGGTGGTGGAGTGGATAGAGGAAGGATTGTAATTGGAAAGAAAGAAGAGTGGAACAGGTAGAAAGAGAAGAGAGGGGAGGAGGATCTAAAACAAGTAAGTGAAGGAGAGGGGGAAGAGATTAATAGAGTGGAGGGCATTGCCCTGTTGAAAAAACAGCATATGCTGGTTAGGTATGTTTTGACGCTGGGATGCTGGTTTAAGCTGGTCCTTTGCTGGTTTGTGCTGGTCCTTTGCTGGTTTTAGCTGGTCCTTTGCTGGTTTATGCTGGTC